TATATATATATATATATATATATATATATATATGTAAAAAGTTTATATAGAACCGAGGCTCCAAACAATTAAATTAGAGCCCACCTCAAAGTTTTCACTAGAAGAGGTTGTTTTGATGCCTAAATATACTCTAATTGATCATCTCAATATCAACATGAATGGACATGAGAAAAAATAGATTTCAAGTTTTAGAAATAGTGCATCTTGTAAAGTATATTTCGACCGTCAATTTTCAAGATTTTCAAGTTTTCATAGATCTGCTCCATCTACACTGTTTTTTAAGCTTTAAATTTGGGAAAAGTTTATATAGAGCCAAGGCTCTAAACAATCAAATTTGAGCTTACCTCAAAAATTTCATTAGAAGAGGTTATTTTGATGTCCAAATATCTTCAAATCGATCATCTCGACATCAAAATGCATGGACATAAGAAAAAAATGGACTACAAGTTTTGGAAATAGTGTATTTTGTAACACATTTTTGGACCGTCAATTTTCAAGATTTTCATAGATATGTCGATTTACACTAATTTTGAAGCTTTAGACTTTATAATTAAATATGAAAAATATATTTTAGGGATATCACAAATATTTTCGATATTAAAACCACATTTCTCGATACTATTTGAAGGTAGGCTCTAATTTGATTGTTTAGAGCCTAGGCTATATACAAACTGCACCCTTTAAATTTTATAATTAAAGATGAAAATATATTTTAAGGCTCTCACAAAGAGCACGATATCTTAATATTGTTTCCATATCTCCACATTATTTCTATATCTTAATTAGAGAAAGAGGGAGAGAAAATATGAGTGCGTACAAGAGAGAGATCTCAACATTATGAGAGAATTTTAAGAGAGAGAGAGAGAGAGCATGCATAAGAGATAGAGAATTGTGATCTTAGGAGAGGTAAAAGATTTTTATGAAAGCTTTTGAAGAGTAGAGAAAGAGAGGATCTCTTAAATCCAAGGTTTTGTGATTAATCAAATTTTTATTTCATAAAATCTCTTATTATCTAATGGGTGATTTATGATTAATCTATTACAAATAATTGCATACGTGCAACGTACGTAATTCAACTAGTACACGTTAAGAGAAAGTAAGAAGAGATTTTTACTAAGCAATATGTGTTGAGCAACCATAACCATAAGCATTCAAACCTCACCTCTAATTCCCACTGCAAATATTCAAGCCTCGCCTCTAATTCCCAATTGCTGAATTTTTACTTGTTATCGAATAACTATTTATGCATTGTTGTAATGATATTTTTAGTTTAGAGAGAGTAGATTTTTCATTGGGTTACTCTTCCTCCAACTTTATGAGTTTCTTGGAAATTAGTTTTTGGAATATCAAGGGGAATATGTTTTCTAAGTGGTTGATGTTGAAATTTTTTATGGAGTTCTGTATTAAATCAATGTTTATAATAATATAACTTCAATAAGTTTATCGCAAAACAAAAATTCTTCATGAGGATAATGGAAGTTTCAAGAAAGATTAAAAAAATCGGAATAAAAAAAAGCAAAAAACTAAAACAATTTTTTAAGAGAATGATAAGGGACAGGCTGAAGTTCACCCACTAGCTCACAGCTATCTATGAGCCCAACAGTCCAGATTGAATCTTGGCCAATCTGACGATTAAGATATCATTTCATATTTTTATTTTATTTTATTTATATAAATATAAATTAGTTGAAATTTTAGGCGTCAATTCTTCTCATCAAGACGCACCTAATAAAAATATTAAAAAATGATAACTCACAAAAATTAGATTGACCAAAATACCCCTAAAAAGTTTCAGATGTGTTTTGGTCCATTAAGTTTTTGAGAATTTTTTTTTGATATTTTTATTAGATTATCTTATTTTTAAAGAATACACACACAAAATTTTAAGTGATTTGGATTTATAAAAAAAAAAATTAAAATTAAAATACAAATTGAAGTCATGATCATCAGATCTGTCCATATTCAATGTAAGCTGTTGGGCTATATGTAGCTGTGAGCCAGGAGGGTAACCTCAATCTTTCTCGAATGATAAAATAAGCAATCATACAGCTTCATAAAAAACTGCTATTTTTTTTAGTTCTTTAAAAAACTCAAAATTTATAAAGAATTTTATAATACTAAAATTTTTATTTAAACGTTGTATTTTAATGAGACTTGCGTTAATAGCATAATCAATCAAGCCCGATTGTTAAGCCATGAGATCCCAAGACCATAATTAAGGTGGCCAATGGTCCAGGGCGAGCCATGGGCTCTCAGTCCATAATCAGGCCATTTTCAGGCCGGGCCTCAGGTCAGGCAGGGGCAGATATTTTAAATTTTGGGTCCTGTCGGGCAATAAACTGAACGGCCCGAAGCCAGCCTCAAAGTCTGAAACCCATTTCTATCTCTCCAGCCCCAAAGCCCCTCCTTGCCCATCTCTCTCTCTCTC